AATTATTTAATCTTATTTTATCTTAAATTCGATTTAAAAAAAAATTAATCTTAAAAAATTGGATCAAATCAAAATATATCAGGTCCGGATTGAATTACTATTTCTAACATTATCCCATATTTTCATTTCAATATTTAAAAAAAAAAAGAAAAAAGAAAATATGTTTTATGTTAATTTTGTTGTTAAAAGCTTATTTAAAAAAAAAATTTTAATCAAATGAAAAATATGTTAGAGAAACACACACACACACATATATGTATATATATATATATTAATGTTCCTTTCAATGTAAGAAAAATATAAATATGTATTTTGTTTATAAGAGGGCAAAATTCTTATAAGAAAAAATGAATTACAAAATTAAAATTTACTATCACACAAAATCTTTTAACCATTACGTCAAAAGGTGAAAGACGAAAAACATATATTTTTTTTAAACTTTGATCCAACATTATCTCCTCTCCATCCCATCTGTGAAATTATAAATAACTTGAAAATTCAAGAATAATAACAAAATTTTAAAGAATAATAGTTTTAAAAAATATTAATAATTCATATATTTGTATTTATTTATTTTATTTTAATATATATAACATAAAAATTATTATATTATAATTCAAATCAACATGTAAAGCATAAACATATTATTTAATTTTTGCTAAATTATATAATTTAAAAAAAATTAAATTATTTTTATATAATATTATCGTATTATCATAAAATTTATTTTAAAATTTAATATATTTAAAACACTTAGATTAAAAAGATTACAAATTATTGTCCATGGGACCCTTTCTAGGCGATAAGCAAGAGGTCTTGATTACACATTAATATCTCAAATTCTGAATTTTTTATTATTTACATATTTGATCTAATTTTATTTTGAAAATATGTAATATAGTTATTTGTTTATTTATTTAATTTAATTCATCAATTTTTATATGAGATAATATTATCTGTGAGTCATTATTGTTTATACTTGTAATTTCTTTAAAAAAATTCATATAAACTGATTGTCCAATTTTTTTTTTTTTAATCTATCTTTAACTTCCTCCTTCTATCTACTTCATTCAATTAAAAATGATATTATTTGTTTAAATCCTTTCAGATTTGATCAGCATGCATGTCATCTATCTCAATTGGCATCGAATTGCCTAATATTTCTTCAATAACGCTAATAAATTACTCTCAGATACTATAACTCAGAGATGGGCCAAACTTACGCTGATCGACGACGAGTGCTAGAGTCTCCTGACTAAGGATAGCTAAAAGGTTTGCAAATGAAAGTATAAAAAGGGAAGTTGTCGCAAGCTAAAACGTCTAGTGCTTAGGGTTGTCGGATGCTGTTAAGCATTTGATATTATTTGATCTTTTTGGCATTTGTTGCAAATTTTTGAATAGTTATATTAATGAAGTTTAATTTTTGCATCATTGTTTGAAAGTCAAATTATGCAATTAGTGACAAATCTGTATCATTTGTGATAGATTTTTAATAGATTAATTAAAAAAAAAATTTATATGGCCCCAATAGGCTATAATTGTGATAGAAAGTATGACAAAATCAGTAATAGATTTATATTTTATGATAGAATGTAGCAAAAAATAGTGACAAAACTAATAATAGTATTTGACATGAGTAATAAAAAATTATATCAAATTTAGTGATAATATATGAAAATTGTGACTAAATATTGTGATAAATTTTTTAATATTGTAATAGAATATTATGAAAAAAATATTGTAACAATTTTTAAATTTTAATGTTTTAAAAAATTAGAAAATTTTTGAAAAATTCAAAATATTTTTTGTATTAGAGGGATTAAATTTCAAATTTTGTGCGAATTTAAGGAATAAATTTCAAATTTTATGCAAGTATAAGTGTCATAACGTATAAATCTGTAGACTTATAGCTAAATATGGATTAGAAGAGTCACACCAATATTTTTGTATTTAGGTGTGATTGGTCATCTAATTAAATTTGTACTATTTAAAGAGGAATCTCAATATTGACTTAGATATCTTTAAATAGTAGATTATAATCTATGAAATCAGAGTTTAGGTTTAAGAGTGCGGTTACGGGTGAGAAAGATTATAGCACACTTACGTCACCCATCCAAAAGATAGTACTAATTTAATTTTAAATTATTCAAGCTTTGATCTTATTTGTAATTTATCAAATTATTTAAAAATTAGTCTTAAAATTGTTTCAATAGTTTGTAAGTAATTTAAGATAATTTTCTCACATCAAGGATATTCATGGAGACTAGTGTCTTATTCTGAAAGGGCTCCGTCGTTGGATTTATTACAGTATTTTATTTTAAAAAATTAGTAAAATCTCACAATAGTTTAGTATAACTTACTTTGAAGTAGATTTCTCAATAATTTGGTGAGATTTTATTGTAAAAAGATTTGTAAAATTTTTTGTGAATTTCATTAAGTCTCTTTATAGTTTGATAGGACTTAATTTGAAAAAGATATCCCAATAGTTTTGTGAGATTTTATTGTAAAAAGATTTGTAAAAATTTTTGTGAATTTCATTAAGTCTCTTAATAATTTGGTATAACTTAATTTAAAAAATAATATGATAAAATTTTTTTTATTTTTTATTTTTTAAAACTAATTTATGAAATTTTTCACTTGTTTGAAAAGATTTTTTCCTTTTTTTGGGTTTTTATCCTTTTTTCTTTTTTTATTTATTTGAAAAAGGTTTTTTATTCATTTTTTTAACTTATTTATTTTTAGCAATCAAACAACAAAAAGAATTTTTACAAAATAATAAAATTTATCAAATACATATAAAATCGATAAAATAGAAAACTAAAAACAAAATAAAATAAGCTAAAAAATAAAATAAAATTATAAAATAAAAATTAAAAAAAATCTACAATCGGGTTGGATCAGAGCGCAGGTCTACGTGTAGGTCAATGGTTCAACAAGCGAATCCTAGGTTGTCAAAACGGCGTCGTATTGGCATCTTATAAAAGCTACCTCTCACCATTTTGCCGCATACGCTCTCTAGGCCAAAAATCATCTCCTTTCTCTTTAAAAATTCTTCAAAAATTCAATCGAAAAACTGGATTTGTCGTTGATTTTTGAAAAATTGGCTAAAATCCGACTGAAAAATTCGAACTTCCCTCAAAAAATTCAGTTTTTCCCAAAATCCAATTTCTTTTTAGAAAATCCCAGAAACTTTCAAATTTTTTCAGATTTCTTCCAAACCTTTCTAGAACTTCAATCCCAACTCTAAAAATTTAAAATTAAATCCCCCAAACCTAAATCCAAATCCAAAATCCCCAGTATTCTAAAAAATTTTTCAGATCAAAATCCAAAACCCTACTGCCTAGATGTCTATTTTCAAAGTTACAACAACCAAAATTTTCCTAACTTTCACCATGTAATCAAGATCCATTCTTTCTCCAAAAATCAACCTTGTCTTCCCTAGAATTTTCTCGTTCAATTTATAGGCAGTCCTTAATCAATTTAAAGATTGGGCAGAATTTAATCTCATGATTCAAGCCTGGATTAGTTCTGTCTTAGTATGATTTTTTGGCTAATTCCTTGCTAATTTGTCTAGATTAAAATTGAAAATGAATTAAAAACCTTCGACTATGTGAATTCATTTCCAATTTTCAATTTCTTAAATCACCGATCAAGAAGAAAGGAAAATAGAAAATAATAATAATAATAATAATAACATATAATATAATACTATATTATAATGATACACTATACTATAATAATAATGATAATATAAAACCATAATAATAACAAATACTAATACTAATAAAGAATAATAACAGTAATAACAAAAATCAACTCCGGACACAGATGGATATTTACAACAAGAATCAAAATTTAAATTCGAATGAGTATAAAGACCATTTACATAATTTAATAATTAATTTTTTAATTCCAATTATCATATTAACAAGTCAATACCACATCATTAAAGTCAACACCACATCATTGAAGTCAACCTCACATTAGTATGATCAACGACCACATCAATTAACTTAACGAAAATCAATTAACGCTGTTATCAGTTAGATCAATATTGTTAAATTAAATTAGTATAAAGATTTGATTTCTTCAAATAATTATATAAGTACTAAAGTTTAAATTAAGTATAAACACAGGAACTACTCACATAATTTGACCAAGAAGTAAACCTTCTTGATAAAAAAAATTTCTTAAATTTATAATTTTATTTAGATAAATTTTTATATTTTTATTATATTTAGATAAAATTTTAATATTTAATTTATACTTAAATAAATTTTTAATTTTTAATTTGTATCTAAATAAATTTTTAATTTTTTAAATTTGTATTTAAGTAAATACTTAACATAAATTATTTTTTCATTTAAAATAAAGATATATTTAAATATAAATTAAAATATAAAATTATTTGAATATAATAAAAATATAAAAATTTATTTAAAAATAAAATAATTTTATATTTTTTTAATATTTTAGTATCTTTCTTCTTACGGAATTTTGAAATCTGGTGTGGTTATTAATAATTCTTTTTCCATCAATCAGCATCATGTCAGGACAAGCGTGAAAGGCTTTAATTTTCAAAGCTGAACAGGTACGACTATGGCTCTTCTTTTCCTTCCTTACCTTACCCCATTTTTTCATTTCAAAATTAAAAAAATAAATAAATATATTTTGTTGTTAAAAGCTGACTTAAAAAAAAATTCTGATCAAATGGAAAATATGTTGAGGAATATATATATATATATATATATATACTTCATTTAATTAAAAATGATATTATATGTTTAAATTCTTTCAAATTTGATTAGCGTGCATGACATCTATCTCGATTGGCAATTTGAATTGCCTGATATTTCTTAACTAATGGTAATAAATTGAGGATTAAAAGAAAATAAAAAGAAAAAGAATGCCACAAATTAATTAAGAACCTTAATATGAGGCATTGAGTCAATATCCTAAAAAAGCAGAAAGAAAGAGAAACAAAAATATTTCTAATTAGGAAAAAAAAAAAGGAAATTCATCTAATTGCCTAATATTCATTCCCCCAAGTGCTATTCAAAGATTACACTCAGCCCATCCTTCTTCCAAGTCCTGTCTGATTCTCCTCCTCAACCTCATTGCGCGTGCGAGCCTCGGTTCCATGGCTACGATCAGCTTAGCCGGCACACCAGACAGCTCCTCAAGCCTCCTTAGATTCTGCCACGTGGCTACCGACATGTCCCCGCTCATCCTTAGCCCGATCCAAAACGCTGCCGCCAAGCTCAGCCTAATCGGCCGCACCGCCAACCGCTCTAAACAAAACCGCAAAGCGGACGTCGCCGTAGACGCGACGGAGTGTCGGTTCAGCGCTAGCTTCTTGCACCAAATTGCGAAAGTACCCTCGAACCTATCGATCTTCGAAACCCCGGAATGAAGGGTGGAGGAAGAATGGACAGACTTGGTTGATCTTGATCCTGATTTTACGAATACCCTTTTGGGTTTGAAATCTGTGGCGGAAGATTCATTGGTAGACAGAGAATCAGAAGAAGAAAATGAGAGAGTGGAAGAAGGCATTGGGTGGTTTTTTTCTTCAAAAGAGCTAGCTTTGCATTGGGATTGGGATTGTAATTGGCAAAAAGATTTACATTTTGTGCAGAGAATGTGACGGAGATGACGAGCAACGAGGAAGTTGGCATGGTGAACCTTGTAGTCGCAGTTCCAACAAAGAAAAGCAGCGTCTGCCCAACAGTAAACAAAGGCTTCTTCTTTGCAAAGCTCGCAAAGCTTGCCTGTTTCCATTTTAATTTGAAGAAATGATCAAAGTGGAAACGGCGCGGTTCTGTATGGCTGCTGGTTTTCAATTGAATGGGTATATAACAACAACAAACAAAAAGAAATAAAGAAGAGAGATTTCGGGCGAGAGAGATTTGAGGAGGAAAAAGAAAGGAAAGGAAAGGAAAGGAAAAGAAAAAAGAGATGTTTGGGGGAGAGAGAAAGGCGGTGGAGAGTAAGTGTGTGTGTGTTTGTAAGAGAAATGGAATCCAAAAAACAAACAGACGCGTGAAGGAAATTAGCAAATAGAAACTTGTGATCTGTGTGGTTTTGTGGTTCTTATATTAAAAAAAAAAAAAAGAAAAAACTTTATTTATTGGTTATCGGTTGGGTTGGAATCTTGTTTTCTGGTGCTCCTTCGCCTGTCCACATAAACCTCGTTTTCCTCGAACTATTCAAACACCATCACGTCTGATTTTTCCCTTCCTTCTTTCTCCTCATTTTTTTTCATACTTTCTGTGAATCTGTGAAAAAATGTTGTGGGTGTATTGAAACAACCAAAAGTATTTACAAAATAATTTAAATTTAAAGTTATAAAAATAGAAAAATAATTTTATTTTTAAATTTTTGTTTCAACCGCAAACGCACGCTTAAGAAGATTTTGCGTTCGATTTGTAGAATCAATTTTTTGATTGAGGGGACAAATTAAGTTTACAAATTCTCAAATTTTATAAAAATAATTTTTGAAGACTGCTAGGCAATAGTCGTTTCAGTTATTGCGTTTCAAAACTGGAGCTACCAGTACCAGAAATTTTCAAGTTCAAAACTGGTTACCGGCAATTATAAGTTGCCTGACCTAGTCTAAACAGTAAAACAAAGTCCTTACATAAAAGACAAAAGATGATTTGTGACTTCCATACTACTACTAAGATAAAAGGGTTTTCTAAGTACATTAAAAAATTTTTTCTATACAATCTTTTTTTTTTTTTTTTAAATATCTACATGACAAGTTTTAGTCTTTACTAAATAACGAAAATACCTTTTTATTAAATAACGAAAATACCTCACCCCAAATTACCTTTTTCTTCTTTTTTCTCGTTTTCTTCTTTCATCCTTTTCTTACATACTCTAAACCCTAAATATCGAAAATAAATTTTTAATAATTATATTACATTTTTTAAATTTATTTTTTAAGAATTATATTGTATTTTTAGAGACGAATTTTTGAAAGTTATATTGTATTATCAAATTTTTATTTTTAAAAATATATAAAATTTTTTTAAAAATATATATTTAATTATAAACTCTTGAAAACATTTATTTTTAATTTAAATAAAATAAATACATTTAATTTTAAAATGAATAATACTAAAAAAATTTAATCCTAAATTAAGTATTTAAACGGTACAAATGCTCTCCTGTCATTTTAAACAAAACCAATAATTTTAAAACAAAAATAAAAGGAAATAAAAGAACTTCAATTTCTTTGTTGTATTAGGTATGAGAAGGTTGATTTTAATCTCTTGACACCATAAGGAACATTGGCCCTCATAATATCCCTTATTAGGATCTCTAAATAGGTCTTTAATATTTTTTTTGAGGTATGATTGTTTAAATTTGAATTTGTCAATCTACTGATGACATTACTAGAGTTAATATTCCTTGCGGTGCCAAGTAAGAACTATCATATCTCTTTCATTCACACATATGATCAAGTAAATAGGTTCATAAGTGCATAAATTTTCAATTAAGTCATTCTTAACCAAGCTTCTTGAAAATAGATATTCAAGAAGTTTTAGGACTTTTGAGAAATGGACATCTGAAAAGTTTTAAAATTTCTCAAAAATAGATTTTCAAAAATATTTAAGAATTATTGAAATTGGATTTCTAAAAAGCTTTAAAATTTCTTGGAAATAGATATCCGAGAATCTTTAAGTTTCTCAAAAATTCATTTTCAATAAATCTTAAAAATTTTCGAATATCTATGTCTGATAAGCTTGGTTTTACCTAAATCTTATTGAAATCCTAAGTAAAAAACACAATTCAATCAAAATCAATCGAAAAATAAGGTAGAAATCTTACCTTTAATCATTGAAAAATTCAAAAACATAGGTGATTTGGGTTAATTTGATGGATTTTTAGAGTTTTTTTTATTGAAAAGTGAAAAGAGCAAAAGGGAGAAAATGTAAGAAGAGTAACATAAAAGCAAGGGGTGGGAGTGTATTTAGTAAAAATAGAAATTTGAGTTTTGAATTTGGAGTGTATTTAGAAGTGAAGTGTATAGAATAATAAATGAAGTATAAATAAAATTTCCCTAAGATGAAACTTTGATTATTGTGAGAAAATTTTAAATAATACGATACTATGAATTATGAGAGATTCAATTATTTTCTTTTCATGTGAAGTTAAATAACAAAAAATTATTATTTTTATTTAATTTTTATCCATTGGATACAAGGTAAAACATGAATTTTTATTTATTTAAACATATTCAATTATGTATTTCCGTGCTTGAGTATGATACAAAATAAAAAAATAAATAAATTTGAGAGCATATTACTTATAATTTTTAAAATTTTATTATTATTAAATTTTTTTAATTTTATTATTATTTAATTATAAAAAATACAAAGATCCACTATTTATTTATAGATTTGTTTAAAAGTCAAGCTATCTGCTATCTATCCGATTTAATGGATTAGATCAAAATCAGATTAGGTTTTGGATAATATTTTTCAAATTCGAGATTAGCTTAACTCAAAATATTATTTAATTAATAAAAACAAAATTTTTATTTAATATTAATTTCAAAATACAATATATTAAAATTTTAGGTCTTTTAAGTTCAATGAGTTGAATCTTGAATAAAAAATTTTAAAAAAATAAATCAAATTTGATATAATTCTATCATGAAAATGTCTATTTATAATTGTTTTCATATAATATTTTTATAAAATATACGCAATTAATTCATAATTATGATAGATAATTGTAAATAGTATATTCTCATTTCAATAATATAACTTTTGAAAAAAAAATTTTAAAAGCTCTTTGGGATGTATTTTATTTTTTATAGGACTGGCAAACATAAGATAGGGGCATTTTCATCTTTATAGAACGTAAGCTACCAATTAATCACCTCACAGCAAAAGAAATTTGAGACACGGCGGTCCACAAGGCACAACCAAGAATTGCAAGAGACTGTCATCTGACGACACGTGTCATTTTTTATTACGTCTTCATCATTAATTCGTCCTGCCGCGGAGAAATTCTTACTTGCACCTCTTATTTATAATAATAATAATAATAATAATAATAATAATAAATTAAGAATTATATCCGACAACAAAAACATAAATAAAATTAATTAATAAAGGATATTTTAAATTTAATTTTTTATTCGAATTTTAATTTAATTTAAATATATGATTTTTTATTTAAAAAAATTAAAATTCTTATTTTTCAATAAAAATAATTTTTTTTCAACAAACTATATATAAGAACCTACCTTTGGGCTAAATACGCAAGACATTAAATTCATAGCTGATGTGAGACTTAAAGTTTAGTCGTGCAATTAATGTAAATGTGTGACTAAAAGTTTGAGAAATTGTTCTAAAAACGTTTAATAAAATTTGTTGCCTCAAATTATGAGTGATAGTGATTTGGATTAAATAAGATTTAAGTTTGATTTTTTTGAATAATATATAATATTATAAAATTTTAAAATTTAATCTAATGAATTGAATTTTAACAATTTGATTTAGTTCTTTGATTTTTAAAATTTAATTTTTATTTTTATATATTATTTTAATATGATTTTTATTATATTTAAATAGATTTAAATTAAAATAATTATTTTTATTTTATAATAATTTAAAAAATATATAAAGCTAATAAAAATATACAATTCAGTTTTGTTTATTTTTAATTTTTTTCGATCCAAAATTTGATTTGAATTTAATATATATTTAATATTAAATTTAATCTAAACTAAATATATATAAATAAACTGATTCGAATCAAATTAATTATATTTTAAAATTGATTTTTGATTTTTTCAATTTTTCTCACCCACCAAATGTCATTTAAATTATTTAAATGAATAATAACAATTGATCATTATTAACTTCAGAGTCATCTAATATTTTTTTATGTGATTATTTATATTTAAATAACTAAATTTTTTTCTTTAAAAAAAGTTAAGATTTTGTTTGGTTTGAGAAAATATTTTTATTTTTTATTTTATTTTTATTTGTTGAAAAATTATTTTTGTTTTTCGAAAAATGTATTTGGTGAAGGAAAATAAAGTTTATTTTCTAAAAATGCAAAATAATGAAATATGTTTGATATATTATATAATTTTTTAAACAAATAATTAAAGAAATAAATCAAATATTCAACGATATTATCTTTGATTTCAAACTTCTCAATTTTATTTAGTAATTTCATAAACCATTTTAAATGTAATTTGAGTGAAAATAGAAAAAATATTACAAATAATTCAAGAAGCCTAATATATCTAAAGACAAGGAAAAAAGAAACAGTTGTGGAAATAATTAATATATATTTATTAATGAAAGGCTTAAAAAAGTTCAAATATATGCCAGTTTATTACTTACAAAATACAAGAAAAAAAGTAAGTATTATTTTCATAAAAATAACTTTTTTATTTTTATATTTGAATTCATTTTCATTTTTATTTTAAAAAATTTTTCTTTCATTTTTAATTATTTAAAATTTTCATTTTTATTTTTTATTTTCTAAGAAAATAAAAATAAAATTTTTTTATTTTCTAAAACCAAACAATTCCTTTTATTTAAAAATGTTTTGTCATGTAGTGATTTTCAACTTTTTTTTTTTTTTTTGAGGTCGAAAGATTTTCAACTGTCACAAGACAGCGGCGGGCGGAAGGAATGATGATTGTCATAACTGATTATTGATATTAGATAAAAAAAGAAAAGTAAGATCGTTCGTAGCTGGAGATGGGCCCACAAAACAATTAATAGTGACGTCAAAAAATCTGCAGCGACATAATCAACTGTGGTCTCAATTTTCAGCCACAACGAGGAGCCCTGGCAGATACCACAGAAGAATTTTAAATTACAAGGTGAACCGACACGTTTCGATATAAGGGTGGTTGGAGCTGGCGGCTGTTAAGCGACCACTGAGCATCTAGCGGTGGCTGTTGCACGAAGATGGCGTGATTGGAATGATTTTTTATTTTAAAAAATTAAAATTTTCATTTTTTAATAAAAATATATTTTTTTCAACAAGCTACAAGTACGTGTCACGATCCACAAATTGATCTAGACTCAAAAGTTCTCTTCAA